CTGCCAGAAGTACAAGCTGAGTTTCGAAGAGGTAGAGGAACCAGAGATCAAATTGCCAACATTTGCTGGATTATGGAGAAAGCAAGAGAGTACCAGAAAAACATCTACTTCTGCTTCATTGACTATGCTAAAGCCTTTGACTGTGTGGATCACAACAAACTAGGGCAGGTCCTTAAAGGGAAGCGGTGGCGCAGGTGGTAAAACGCCTGCTGTAATAACAATGAACAGCCACTATGGCTGTTCGAGACCCACTGTGGCCAGGGTGAGCTCCCGGCCCTAGTCCCAGCTTCTGCCCACCCAGCGGTTCGAAAGCAGTAACAACAGCGAGTAGATAAATGGGTACCTGCCCTAGGTGGCAGGGGGCACCCTCCTCCGTTGTGAGGTGTGGTGGGAGCATCGGCGGCGGCGGAGCGACAAGCGGTGGTGGCAAGATCGGTGGGGCGAGCCCCGGTGGCCGAGTGAATGTGGCATTGAGCGGTGGAGCGGATGACGACGGAGGTGGAGACGGAAGGCGCGGTGACATGGAGGCGCAGGCGCGGCGGAGCGAAAATGGACAGTAGCCGGAGCCATGCTGACGCGAATCCGCGCACCAGATGGGCCCGCCAGAAAGAAAGCCACCAAAAAAAGGAAGATCTATCCCTGGCCGCCAGGGCGGAAGCACCGACCCGAAGGCCGCCGGAAGAAGAAGAAGGAGCCGAGCCGGAAAAACAGCGAGCCCCACCACCTGGGTGCCAGTAGGCAGCCCCCCGCCCCTGCACTATGTGGCCGTAGATAGGGAAAGCAGACCTAGACTCCTATGTAAACCGCCCAGAGACCCTTCGAGGTCAGGGCGGTATATAAGCCGAATGTATAAATAAATAAATAGAGAGATGGGAGGACCAAACCACCTCACATGTCTCTTGAGAAACCTGTATAAGGGTCAAGAAGCAACAGTTAGAACCAGATATGGAACAACTGATTAGTTTAGCATAGGAAAAGGAGTACAACAAGGATGTATATTGTCACCTTGCTTATTTAATATATATGCAGAGTACATCATGCGAAATGCTGGCCTGGATGAATCACAAGCGGGAATTAAGATTGCTGGGGAAAAGATCAACAACCTCAGATATGCAGATGATACCACTCTAATGGCAGAAAGTGAAGAGGACCTTAAGAGCCTCTTGCTCAGAGTGAAAGAGGACAGCGCAAAAGTGGGCTTGAAGCTCAACATCAAAAATGGCAGGGGGGAGAGAATAATGGGAGGGCGGACGGCTGGGGCAGCGGGACAGAAGGTGCTGCAGCTGCTGCATCTTCCAGAGATTTGGGCAAAAAGAGTTTACACAGTCCTTGCTTTCGTAAACCCTGCACAGGACAGACCACTCACTGGTTGAACAGGTGTCTCTGTCCGCCCTGCATCCTCAGTGTCAGCAAGATCTTCGGTGATGTGAGAAAAGAGGCAGGCTCCCGTAGGAAACCTGGGCAAGAGGACAGGCTGTTAAAAGTCTTTACAAGGAGCAGAAAAGCAAAAGATGGGGGCAGGGAGGAAAACCAATCCTTTTTTGACAGT